TCCAGTGCTGCACGCGGCGCCTCGAGCACCGGGAGACGATGGCCAAACACGGTGGCCTCGTTTCTGCAGCACCGAGACGCAGCTCCTTCCCTCAGTAGCTCCCCCTGTCGGCTGCGGCCTTCCTGACTTTCTCTCCCCTTTGGTCTCCCAGGCAGGAATTGGCCCAGGAACCGTCGTTTCTTACCTGTCCTTCTTACTCGGTGCCAACAATTCGCCCCAATTTTTTCTCCTAAGAACCTCATAGCAGAGGAACCAAGGAACCGCCCGCTTCACAGATAGAGAACTTCAGAGCCAGGCGTGGTGGTGCACACTTGCAGTCCCAGCATTCTGGGAGACTGAGGCAGGCAGATCACAAGTTTGAGCCCCGCCTGGGCAACTGAGCGATTTATAGGGAGACCGTCTGAAAAGTTAAAGGTAGGAGCACAGGTGTGGCCCAGTGCAGAGCTCAGTGACGGCCAGAGTCACACACCTAGGGATGCCAAGACCAGGAGCCGAGCACTAGGGCTCACATGACCACCAAGCCTCATCTCTCCAGCCTTCCCAAACTAGAGAGCCTCTGGTTTGAAACAGGGCCACTGCCTGACCCCGGGAGGGACAGACACCTCCCAGAGTTATTTCTGATCAATTTTGTTCAACCAGAATGGCTCTGGCCCTCCCCAGCGGCCTGACAAGTCCCCCACGGAACCACGGCAGGTCTGCTCCTGGCTCATCCAGCGAATGCCCACAGGTGCCTTGCAGCTGAGTCCTCCTTCAACTGCTCCTCAGCATCTGGAACAGCAAGCGCTACGGGGACCGCCAGGAAGTAACCGCGTGCCCTCCATGGGCTCCGAAGCTCACTCCAGATGGGCCTGGCCAGGCCTCAGCCCGGCTGCACGTCCATGACCGCAGTCCCACCACAGGCCACGTCCCTGGAAGAAGCTCACGGAAGACACCAGCGGCCCCAACCCTGAGGTCACCTCGCCCAGCTTGCTTCCCTTCGAGAACAGGGGGACGCGGAGAGGAGAAGCAGCTCGTCCAGGGCTCTCCACAGGTCGGAGCCAGGTGGCTCTGCAGTGCCGCTGCGGACAGAAGCCAGCACGAAGGCAGACCCCGCCGTGTCCGCAAGCTGGGCCTGAGGCACACGTACCTCTCTCCTGGGCAGGGCCTGCTAAGGGCCCATCAGCCACGGGCTGCTTGAGATCTGAGCACCGGGTCCGATCCAGAAGAGCTCAGCTCAGGGTTCGTTTTCTGAGTGTCTCACATGGGCAGCCGGGTTACCAGGCAGGAAAGACGTTAACCACAGCCTCCCTGCCAGCAGGGGACTCGCTGTTTAATCCACCCCTACATCCTTTCTTTCTGCCACACCAAAGTCCCCCGTAAACAGCAAGTTCTCGTTACATTTTTAAATAAATGACACATCCCAGATATAGAGAAACCCCCATCCCAGTAAGTAGAGAGATGCTCTGATGTACACAAATATGTCCTGATCTATACACCCTCCCGGCTGGCTCCATTTCATGTTCACCAAACATCCAATTTGCACAGCCAATAAAAAGTCATAAAAAAAAACTTTTTTTTTTTTGGTACCGGGGATTGAACTTGGGACCTTGCGCTTGCAAAGCAGGTGCCGGAACCACTGAGCTAAATCCCGGGCCCTAAGAATAACATTTTAATTGGAAGTACATATGGATACTGGTTCATCCTAAGCTTTCTTCTTCTGTTTAGCCAAACCAAACCTTTGTGGTGGTGTTCCCAGACTGAGCAAATAAAAACATAGCATGCCAGTTAAATCAGAACCCTAAATAAACAACAGTATTTTAATGTGTATGTCCCCAACACTGCACATATCCCAAATTCTGCAATATTACAAGTGTTTTCCAAAAGCAAATGTAGCTGGTTATTCTGCCCTTGACTGCCAACCCTAGTCTGAGTCTCCTCAAGTGTTGTGGGAAATTTGGGGTAGGGCGTTTACAAAGCCAGTCTTCCTCGAAGAGCAGCTGTTCTGCCTGGATCCTGCTGGGGAATGGAGGAAGCACAGCTGGAGTAGACGTCCTGATGACTGCAAGTCCTCCTGGGCTAGTCCCACTCTGGTGAGCCAGGGGAAGGCAGGGTCTCTGCAGAGATACAAAGGCAGAGGGGCCTGGGCCTGGCTTCTTGCTGTGAAGTGAGTGCTTCCACTTTCTCTTACTGGAGTCTGGAGCTGAGCAGACTCCGTGGCCCTGAGAGTTCTGGTCTTTTGGGCAAGGTCAGGGGTCCACCAATGGCTGTTTCCTCCTGCCCTGTCTCTATAAACGTGTGTCTCTGTGTGTTTCTCTCTGCCTCTCTTTTCTGTCTCTAGCTGTCTGGTGAACTTCTCTTAATTCCTCTCAAAGCCAAGGGAGTGAAAGCTCCCCATGCGGTCCCAAAGCAGAGTTTGCTCTGTCTTTTATCAGACTAACTCTTTGAGGAACTCTGACTTGCAGAGATGGGGCCTCCGTGGCATTAAGTGACAGATATTTCTTGGCCACCTGGGCGAGGAGGCCAGGGAATGCGGCCTCCCAGAGGCAGGCAGTCCCTGCTGTCAGCCTCCCCTCCCGCAGACACTGACCCATGACCCGCAGTGAGTGGGGCGCCTCATGAGTTGAGCCTAGAGGCCACCCACAGCTGAGACTGGCACTCCAGCTTTCCTGTGCTTGGTGAATACTGTACATTTTGAAGGCACACTCATGACTGCTCTCAGCCTCATGGGGTGCTTGCCGGGGTCATAAAATCCCTTCTTGATCTTCACCACGGCCAAGAAGAGCTCCCAGAGAGCCCATGCTCCCCAGCACCCCTGTGCCCCCAGCCTCTGTAGAACTAGCACACTCCCATCTGCCATCTAGGGAGTGTTATTTTGCCGTGACTTAGAACTCTGACCACGACGCAATAGGTAGATTCACATCTGGATGGATGTATACAAATAACTAATTGGCTCTACCAATAGGAAACAATTATTTGTGGGTAGCCAATGTTTTGAAAAGTAGCCATGCATCTTATAGAATGTATGAAAGATTATGGCGAACATTTGGATTTGGGTTGAATTTCATTTCTGCTCTTTGCTAGCTATGGACCTTGAAGGTCTTTAGTCTTTTTGACCTTCAGCTTCCCTCTAAGTGGGGGACAGTGGGATGAGTGGATAAAATACTTGCCAAGTGCCCAGCAGTCCCTGCCACAGGGTAACTCATTCCCTGACAGACATCTGTTCGGTATCTCCAGTGTCATAGCACTTCCTGGAGATGTAAGGAGCTAGAACACAGGGATTTCAGCTTTTGTCAGAAATAACCTACACTAGGGAAAGGGGGTGAAAGTGCAGACTGTGTGTTGCCGGCCTGGGTTCCGTCCTGGCTGAAGCTCTTCTCAGTGGTGTGAGTGCAGGAAGTGTCTTCCCGCTACACAGCGGGGCTGGCCAGTTAGCACCTGGTGTGGAGCAGAAGGATGTGCGGCAAGAAGCTGCCTGGGCTGCTGTCCCGGCCAGGCCAGCTCAGGAAGACTGGCAGGGCCTGGCCACACCATCCTCTTCCCCGTGGAGCTCCAGGTATCCCTCCACGGGTGCAGCGTCTGTGTGCAGGTGAGTGGCCCGTGCCTGCTGAGCAGCTCACGCGTGGTCAGGCCACACCCTGCCCTGGAAGCCGTGACAGGCTTGGAGCTTTGCGTGTCTGGAAGAGCGATCTACTAGGGATCTGGCCCTTGGCGTCCCTGAGCCTTTTTAGTGAACAAGCATCAGCTGAGTTGGGCTCAGAAGCGCGTTCAGCGCTGGGTCCCCTCTGGGTCCCACTCCAGGCCTCATGGGGTGACGCTGGTTACTTTGAACTGCGTTTTGGCCGTGAGGGCAGTTTAACAATCATACTTGCAGCTTGGAATCTCCACTTGTTGGCGGGGGGGGGGTCCTCTTTAGGATGGAGGTCCTGGAGAAGTAGATGATAGCAGTCTAGTTTGGTTCGACTAAATGAAGTTAGCTTCATCAGAAGTAATCGCGTATTTGGTGGCATCTAACCCAGGGATTCCCAAGTTATTTAGTCACACTTGTTTTTCCGAGCTGCCCAGTCCCTCCTGCAGCAGTCTGAAAGGCCCCACCAGAGTTTTAAGGCCTTCTCAGGTCTGCTCCCAGAGGACCTCAGTGTGAGTTCACCGTGGGCACCAGAGAGAGATGGAGCTTGCTGCTTACAGAAAAGCGGCTGAGACCACGTGGTCAACCTGTCTTGTTTCTTGTGTTCAAACTGTGCCCACTGTGAGAGGGAGAAACCATCACACAGGCTGAAGAGCTCTTGTGCAAAATACTTGGGGCCAGAAGGGTTTTGGTTTTCAGATTCTAGTATATTTGAACATACATAATGAGAAACCTTGTATGTGAGACAGTCTAAACATGAAATTTGTGTGTGTTCCACACAAACCTTATAGCTGAAGGGTAATTTTACACGTTTTCAGTCCATCTGCATTTGGACTGCAAGTCATCCCATGAGGTCAGAAGTAGAAGTTTCCACTTATAGAGTCATGGCAGTGCTCAAAAGCTTTGAGATTTTGGGACATTTCAGATCAGGGATTTTCAGATTAGAGATATACAACAGGGACATATGATAGATAAGAAGCTAATTAAACTGGGTGAACTTAGAACTTCCAGCATGAGCTGCAGGTCCTCCCAAGGAAAACAAACCTATAGCTCTGATACGGTCAGAACTCACCTCGGAAAGACGGCAATTTTACCGTAACTATACGATTTGATGGAGCCACGGATCCTCTGGAGCCAGCGGCGCTTCTCACCAGAAGTGTCCCTGCCCTCCACGTCGTGCTGCTTGAGAGAGATCGTGGGAGAGGGAAACGTGCAGAGGTGGCAGGAAGACCCTCTCCTGGACCAGTGAGGTGCTCACCCCAGCGTGGAGGTTAGAACGTGGATTGAAGCTATTTCTACTCACCTCCTTTGGGTTACTATCCAAAACACTCAACTAGTTTTGTAACACCCAGCGAGAGAGAACCAACCAGAGACCGATATTAAATCCACACAGGAGTTTATTACCAGCCGGACCTGAGCCGAGCATCGGACTCGAGTCCCGACTGGGGGAGATTAACATGTTTTATACACCTTTGAGGCCAGCAGTTTCTAGGCCCCCCTATGGGATAGAACTAGCAAAGCAAGCGAAAGCTATGGAAGCCGAACGTCTTGTAAAACAATAATTGATTAATTGTTGTTTCTAAGAGACTCTCTAAGGGGAGGAGGTTTCTAAGCTTCCTCCTTCTGAGTTCATCCAAAGGGCAGGCAGGTGGGTCGTTCAGCAGCAATATGGAGTCTGTCTCGCTAACCAGGGTCCTTCAGTTTCATATATCACATGAGTTATGTTGCCGTGTCAATGTCCCTGTCAACTCTCCAGCCATTCTCCCATTACTCGATTTCAATATTACAGTATTCATTCACTCATTCACTCATTGATTCATTCATTTTGGTGCTGGGGATTGGACCTGCGGCCTCGCACACTCTACCACTGAGCTATACTCCCAACTCTAGAGAACTTTTTTTTTCTGGTACCAGGAATCAAACTCGGGTCCTTCCGCTTGCAAGGCAGGTGGTGGAACCACTGAGCTAAATCCCTGGCCCTCTAGAGAGCTTTTAAGCCTTCCAATAATAGATGGCTCGTCAGCTCCAGTGTGAAGTGCTTGGCAAGGCTGTGTGGATCGATAAGACAAACCTTTAAGAACTTGATCTAGTGGGAAAACTCCAGGTGTGTATTTACTTCAAGCTTTTTCTGGTCTTTCTCCATGTTTTCTAGACACAATTCAGCCACAGACCTGTCTCCTCTTGATCTTCATTCCCACTGGAGCTCTCTAGTGCCCTCTTTTAGAAGCTGCCTTAAATATGTATTCAAAATTTGTTCTCAGTCCCGACAAACAGAGGTGATCTGTAAGAGCTACCGTGTCGTGGGCCTTACGTGTGTCCAGCACTGCAGGGAAACAAATAACAGGCGTTAACTCGCCAATCTCCAACAGCCCTGCCAGGTGTCATCCCCATTTTACAAACTGAGAACTAAGTGAACACTGCTACACAGAGCGTGGTGCAGCAGGATTCCAGGCAGTGACCTCCGAGTTTACAGCCCTGGTGCTTCTGTGCGTGCCTGTGCATGGCATCAACATGTGGCCTTGTCACCGTCAGGTCTTGCAGGTGAGAATCGCTGCTGTATTTGTCTCTGGGGAGAAAACTCCGAGAGTGAGAAGTCAGCTCACAGTCTTCAGAGGTGAAGTAAAACATTTTGGCTCATGTTCTGGCTCAATTCTGGGCAAAACTAGCCTCCAGAACCCCTGCTAAATTGAGTATCAATCGGAGGCTACATTTGGGCCAAGGCAAGCACTGAAAAGCTATGTAGGCCGTTTGGCAGTTTTCTCTGATTGAGTCATTTACCCTCATTCGGATGGTTTAGCCTATGCTTCTGCTACCTCAGGAGCAGCTGGCTGCCTCTCCTGGGTGTCTACTGCAAGCCAGACCTCTGCTCTATGAAGTCTCAGCTCTTAAAGGAAATATGCTGGAACCAGGCTGGGGCTGGGGCTGTAGCTCAGGGGGAGAGCACTGGCCTGGCGTGCAGGAGGCCCTGAGTTCAATCCCCAGCAATACACACACACACACACACACACACACACACACACACGGATTAACTTGACTAACCAAGTACTCTGGAATTATCCTTTACCTTTTCTTTTTGGTACCAGGGATCGAACTCGGGACCTTGCGCTTTCGAGGCAGGCGGCGGCATCACTGAGCTAAATCCAGGCCCTCCCTTTACCTTCTTTGTAGGAATAGTTTTTGGCCTTTTAAATTTTTATTGACATGTGTTTGTAATACACAGTATTTATATTTGTTTTGGAGAAGCAGTACATACATATAACTTTCAGTCTCCTTTTCTTCTCCTTCTTACCCTTTTCCCTTTGTAGAATTTGTTTTGTTTTGTTTTGTTCTGTACCAGGGATTGAGCTCAGGACCTTACACCTGCGAGGCAGCCACGGCATTACTGGGTTAAATCCCCGAGCCCCTTTGTAGGATTTCTGATGTTCAAGATCAGATGCTCTGTTACTTAGATTCCCATGATAGCTCCTCGGTACTTGAATGCACATCTGAATGAAGTAATAAGCATCTTGATTGCAGATCAAGAGATTTCATCTACCAAGACCGGGGAGCCCAAAGTGGCCCCAGTCCCCAGGACTGCACGAAGATCCTCGGAGTCTCTGCTGTGAGACAAGTCCGCCCACCTCAGTGGACCGGCGCTAGCGCAAGCGGAGAACCGGGTGCAGTGTGCGCGAAGGACGTGCACGGGAAGAAGCCAGGAAGTTCTTCCAATGAGCTTCGGACGGGCTGGGAGCCTGGGGCCCTGCAGAAGACCACTGTCCAGGGGAGCCTGGTGGAAGGGAGGGTCCCCACCGAGGAGAAGCTCCAGATGCTCACGTCTGTGGTGCTGACTCGGGCAGCTCCACACGCGGCTCCATCCGGCGGGGTCTTTCCCGCACCGAGCCTGCCATGCCCCCGTGCCTGTGACGCAGGGTCCTGCTTCCGGCTAGGTTCACAGGCCAGAAGCTCCACTGTTAAAAAGTCGGGTTTGTAAGTTTATAAATCTGAGGACTGTTTCTTCTTCGTCTTCTTCTTGATTTATTGGTTCACTTACTTACTCAATTTTGTGGTACTGGGTTTATTTTTCTTTTTGGTTTCGGAGACAGGGTCTCACTACGTAGCCCAGGCTGGCCTCGAACTCCCACCGCCCCTCCAGCCTCCAATTCCTGCGTGCTGGAATCACAGGCTGCACCTCCATGCCCACTGGTCCTAGGGATTTGAACCAGGGCTTCACCCTGAGATACATCCTCAGGTCTTCTTAAATTTCTGTTCTCATTTTTAAAACAGGATCTAACTAAGTCACTGAATTGCTCAGCCTGGGCTTCAACTTGCGACCCCCCTGCTTCGGTCTCCCAGAGTGCTGAGATTATCGTCGTGCAGTGCTACTGGTTTGTTTTCTTCTAATAAATTGTAATGTAGAAATTACAAAGGGAAACATGTATGGGGGAGTCTCTCTCACAAAATTAGCAAAGACTGCTTTTGAAAGGAGCACTACTTGGAAGGCAATTTGAATTTGTCTTGAAATTTATCTTTCTTAACATGGTGCCCTCTAAAAGAACAGGTGTATATACTGAATATAGAAATTATACGTGAATATGTATTATGGCATCTTGATGAGCAGTTAGAAATCTGTCTTTCCGTAGAATATTGTTTAAGCTTCATTATCAAATGCTCACTAAATATGTGTTCAGAGTAAGTTTTAAGTTATGAGGCGAGGAAAGGAGTGCTATTTGCACATCAGCAGGCTTTTATGTCCATTAAACTCTAAGATATAAATTTGACAGAGAAAGTGAAAATGGAGTTATTTCACTGTAGCTTAACTATTACAGAAGCAAACGTTTGAACTTACCACCAGGGTCCGAACTACTTGCGATTCCAGGCAGAGACAAGGTGAACTTTTTCTGCCACCGTGCAGCAGGCCCGAGGCAGTGCTGGCTGCTTTTGCCTGGGCCAAAGCCATGGCTTGGCTTGTGGGTGAGAGAAAGGAGGCAGAGTTTCGGTAGCACTTTCTTGGAACTGGAGTTTTCCGCCTGTTGTTGTAACACCTAAAACTATTTCTGTACTGGCTCTCGAATTCAGAGTCCCAGTGGCTCCAGCTGAGGTCTCCTGGGGACAAGCGCAGCTTCTGTCACTCAGCCATCACCTGTGGAAGGATCGGTGGTCGTGGGGGCCGCAGCAAGGGCAGCAGGGGATAGGGCAGTGGGAGTGGGCGGGCAGAAGTAGAAAACATGCCCATGCGGACACCCACACAATCTGTGAGCACAGCGCTCACGCTCAGCCACCCACGAGCTGCACCCCATCTGCCGCATCACCCCATGCACTGTCCACACCAATGGGTCTGTGTCCTGGCCTCTTGTGTACTTATTTCCTGTCTGTCAGGTTCCACCCCTTTCTTCTCTTCCTGGACTCAATCTAAAGGCCTCTAGCTCAGTTGTCCCTCGCTTCCCAAATTTATCCTTAGGGCCTGGTTAATGTCCATACTTAGTGTATTAGTCAGTGTTTACTACAGGAACAAATTCAATGTTTTGTATACATATAGATGATAGATAGATAGATAGATAGATAGATAGATAGATAGATAGGAGATACAGAGATACAGATGTAGATGGCTTACAATGCCTACTTGCAGAAGCAGCTGTGGAGGAGTACAGAAAGGCCATCTGCATGCTGGAGAGCCGGAGGATGCAGGCAAAGGTCGAAGGGCTGGAGCTCACTGCAGAGTCTCACTGGATTCTGCCTCAGGAAGCCAAAGAGTCTACACTGCAGGCTGAAGAGTTGGCACTGGAAGCCTAGAGATGGACTGGCAAAGACTGGCGCTCCTCCTTTGAAGCAAAAAGGAAAGACTTCCCTCTTCTTTCCCTTTTTATTCCATCCAGGCTGCAAGCCTATTGGTGGGTGAGTCTTCCCTCTTCATCCACACCCAGAGTTCTGTTAAACAAATCAGCTGGGATTTTCTTATTCAAGTTGATACCACAATTAGTTTTCTCACTTAGTGTAGAACACATCAGTCTGTCCACATCCCAGGTGCTGGCCATAGACGTTCTTCTTTCTACAGAGAGAGAGAAGGGCCAGGGATTTAGTTCAGTGGCACTGCACCTGCCTGGCAAGCACAAGGTCCTGAGTTCAATTCCCAGTACCGGGGGTAAAAAGAAAGAAAAAGAAAAAACTTTACAGAAAGAGAGAGAGAAAGAGGGGGAGAGGAAGAGGAAGAGGAAGGAGGCAAAGAAAACCTAATGTCTTTAGTCTAATATTTGTGTTCAGAAAAAAATAGGGCACAATATCTCTTGCCTAAAATGACCTGGGTTACCCTAAGGACCACCCCAAGAGCACCAGTGTCTTTCTTTCAGAGCTGGCCACTCCCAAGATTTCACTGTGGGGATGCAAGTGCATCTTCACAAACTGTTCACCCCCAGTGTAGCTTCTAGAAGCCATGAATCCAACAGCAGTGGCCACGTAAGCGTCATCAAGGTCCCTGTGGGTGCAGGAAGTGACCATTACAAGGTTAATGAATTGGTCAGGGCTTCAAAGTTAGATCTCAAGCCAGACACAGTGGCCACACCTATAATCCCAGCACTGAGGGAGGCTGAGGCAGGAAGACTGAAAGTTCAAGTCCCGCCTGGGCAACTTAACAAGGCCCTGTCTCAAAATTAAAAATTTTTTAAAGGGGTGAGGATGTAGCTCAGTAGTAGAGCACTGATAGATTTTTATCTCTAGTACCACCAAAAAAATCAGATTAGCTATCAACTCACACATAGAAACACAAAATAAATGTAGGTGAGGTATAGATGGAAGCCAGTATGCTGGTGCTCATTTTAACATGGCCTGTCTTTACACAAAGGCCTGTAGAACACCTTCCCTCCCAGGCTACTTAGGAGGACAGTGTCCTTATTGGAAGCATGAAATTTCACAACAGGGACCCTGACTATAGGATTTGAAATTCTAATCACTGAACTATGGCTATTTGGTGCTTTCTGAAAGTAAATGGTGTTTCTGGAACCAGAAAAGAAAAAATGTTGGTTTTCCTTGACATATTGTACAAGTTAAAGATAGAAACTAAAAATCTATGTAACATCAATAACCTAGTGGCGATTAAGACTTCTGTCCATTGCCACATTACCAGCAAGTTCACTGCTAACTAAAATGTCATTGCCTAATATGGTAGAAGTTAGAATTCTCATGAAGAACCATATTTTATCACTGCAGTTTTTCTACTTTCAACTTTTACTTTTAGACTCACATGATCGGGTGCTTTGGGGAAGCCGAGAATGTTCACTTGCTTCTGGAACACAAATAGCAGGAAGACAGCCAGGTGGGGGGACCACACACCCCATAACCTATGGCACCACAACTCCTCTGCACTGCCAAAAACAAGTGTGAGTCAAGGGGAGGGCTTCCTGGCAGCCAGGCTGTTCGGGCTTAACTTCCTTTAGTCAGGCAGTAGTAACTATCCACAGCGTCCCCTTAGGAGGCGGCGGCACCAACTTTCGTTCTTCAGCAGCACAGTAAGAGTGTGGGGTTAGCGGATGTCCCTGTGCAGCATGGGGTTTTCTCTGTGCTACTTCCTGTGGCATCCAGTTGCATCCCTAAACAGGCTGTAGTTACTCACGGAGCCAATGCTCATGCCCACTGAAGTGGCCTCAGGTATGTGGGGAAGTAGGAAGGTTGAATATTGTGACTCACCTTATGTCTTCATTACTTTCTTGTTTCTGGGACACAATACCCAATTCCCCTAACTTCAAGGAGGAGAGACATTTTCGGTTCATAGGTGACCTGCTCCCGGGCAGGAAGGTGTGATGGAGGGCCTCCAGAGGGATGCTGCTCACATCGCGGCAGCCGAGAAGCAGAGAGCAAAGGTAGGAGCGGGGAAGAGAACCTCCCTCCAGGCCAAGCCTCAGACCACTTCTGACCAGAGCCCACCTCCCGACAAGTCACCTACAAGTCCCCATGCCCCAGTCCTCTTCCAAAAGCCTTGCCATGAACATGTGAGGCTCTTGGGGATGCCAACATATAAACCACGCCTCAGAACTTGCTTTAAGGCAGTTTTATTTTTCAGTCTACAGAAACCAGGATATGTGCTCTGAACACTCCCTCCCAAGCATGCCCTATTCCATCCAAGAGTTGCAGTCGCTCCTGCTGGAGAGGGAGGTCACTGAGCTCTCCAGGCGTCAGCAGCAGGCTGAGCTGACAGTGGACCACGCCGGGCAGCGCTGTGACTCCAACACTAGTGCTGCTCAGGCTGCTGCCCCTCTGTGTCACTAGAGGTGAAGGGACTGGGTCCTGTTTCTCCTCCCACCTGCCTGTCACCCAGTCTGCACAGAAGCCCAGCTACCAGCTCCAGGACAACGTGGCACGGCCAGTTCTTCATGTCCCTCATTCCTCAGCATGCGTGACCTGTGAGGCAGCTTTAAACTGTGTGATCCCAAGACTTTCAGGAAGGTGGTAGATGCTGCTGGTGAGCAGCAGAAAAACAGCCTCTCTCAGATCTGGTGGCCAGACACTGGAATATAACAATGTGAGGGGGAGAAGCAGGAGGGAAGTGGGTCTCGGGGACCCAGCAAGGACCTGAAGCCCATGGGGAGAGGGAAAAGAGACTTCAATGCATGGAAGAGGTGAAAAAGTGGTGCTTTCTCCCTGAGCCCTGACTCATGGCATGGAAGGGCAGCTCAAACTTGCAGACACGTGGTAAAGACTGATGACCCCAAAGGCTTTCCAAGTGCCAAAAAGGAAATGCTTGCTTGCTTGTTTTGAGACAGAGTCTAGCTATGTAGTCCAGCTGGTCTCAACTTCCCAACAATCCTGCCTCAGCCTCTCAAGTGCTGGGATTACAGGCACGCACCACTACGCCCAGCTCGGGAAATGTCACAGATCACTGACAGACCAGCCCATATCAGCACAATGAGGAAGACCTGGAACCCTGCTCTTATTCCAGTAATTTAAGTCCAGGCATGGTAACTTCTGAAATGTAGCAACAAACAAGACAGAGACAAAATTTGTTCTCATAAGGCTTGTGCTTTAAAGGGAAAAGTTAAAAAATTCAATATATCACGTGGTAGTAACGCCAACTAAAATAGCTGAAGAGATGAGCATTGATATGGATGACAGAGGGGTCGTTCTATATGGGACCACTGGGCAAGCTTGTGGGATGGAGTCACACATGACCAGATTGCTGGGGCATGCAGAGGCCCCCTGGTATCTGGAGTAGCACTGCAGCACAACTGGCTTGTGGAGACAGCAAGGAAGCCAGTGAGCCTGGGGTAAGGTGAGCATGGGGGTGAGGTTGGACTGTGGAGCAGGGAAAGACCCATAGTGTTCCTGCCCCTTGTTCTCATCATTCAGCTCCCTGCTCCTCATCAGTGTAGCTTTTCCTCTGTGTCACAGGAACTCTGTGCAGATCAGATGAAAAGTTTTTCTCTGTGGATCAAATTCTGCAACTGATTTTCAATTGCAGCTGCTGCTATTACTAGAATTTTGGTCCCTGCTATGATGAGTATCTACAGATCCTGTCTGGAAGTAAACAAGAATTATTTGAATGGCATGGAGTGCAGCTTGATGTCCATGTCATCACTTGCAAATCAGCAAGTCCTGCTTCAGCCACACAATCAACTACCATGTGGCCATGCTCAGGAAATGGGAACACAGATTTTTCATGTGTTAGATACTATTCATCAATCAGCTATCAGTTATTTTTAAATTGCTGGTGAGTACCCTGCCCAAAAATGTGCTGCATATTTTGCAATAAGTATTTTCCCTGATTCTACCACTCATTCTGATTCATGGGTTGTGGATGATAACATTCAGCCTCTGCTTAGTTTTCAGCACGCTTCAGTTAACCCTTATGATCCCACCTTCTACTTTTTCCCTTTTTGGTGTGTGTATTAGTCACATTCCTCATTTATAGATACAATACCTGACACCACAAATTAAAGGAGGAAAATCTTTAGGTGACTCACAGTTTAAGGGGCTTCAGTCCATGGCAAGCTGGCTTCAAAGCAGAAACATCATGGCAGAAGGGCATGGCAGAGCGGAGCTCCTTAGCTCATGGTGGCTAGGAAGCAGAGCAGGGGAACAGTGCAGAGTGGATGGGGCCGAAGGACTAGACATAGACTCCAAAGCCAGAACACAGTGAAATGAATTCCAGGAAACTAATTTCATTGAGGCCTTTCTCAAGCAGGTCTCCCAGGGACTCTTCAAATGTAAAGTTTATATTTTTGTACCCTTGAGCCTGTGATGGGTAGGGCCTCCCTGAGTCCTGAGATGTCCTCAAGGCATCTTTTTTCCTGTGCCTGTACAAAGTGCTTAGCTTCTTTTTGTGGAACTAATCTCTTCAGCAACCACACTTCTTTGGCCTCAACTTTACACATGTTTTTTTTTTTCTGGGCTAAAATTTAAATTTTTCCATTTTTTCTGCTCTGGTATTTGGCCCCAGTTCTCACTATAAATCTGGCCCAAAGCAGCCAGCAGTACTTATGCCACAACCTGAATGTTGGGCTATCTTGAAATGTCCTCCAGCAGGTGCATCAGCCCAGCACTCACAGTTTTGTCCCCAGAGAAATCTCTGGACATGGGAGAAATGGAGACAAATTTTCTGCCAGTGTGTATCATGTATGACATCCCTTCCAATTGCCAATGAGTCCTTGTTCTCACTGAAACCTTCTGAGCCTGGCTGCATTCCTATCAGCATTCTGATCTTCTGAGCTCCAACCAGGATCACCTGTCAAGCTCTGCTTACAGCATACTAGGTGTTCTCCAGCCTACATCTCCAAATCTTTCCAAACCCCTCCTGAAAACCAGTTCCAAAGGCTTCTAAACCACATGACCAGGTACAGTCACAGCAATGACCCCCACTTCTCTAGTATCAATTTCCTGTATTAGTCAGTTTTCTCCTATTGATACTCACAGTTTGAAGAAGGAGAAGTTTAATTTGACTCAGGTGATTCAGTCCATGGTGAGTTGGCTCCCAAGGAGAAAAGTCATTGCCATGGGACATGACATAGCAAAACTGCTCAGTTCACAATGGCTAGGAAGCAGGGCAGGAAAACAGTGCCAGAGAGGAAGGTGTAAGAGGACCAGACAAAGACTTTAAGTCACGCCTCCAGGGCCCTCTCAGATACACCCACTATGTGCTCCACCACTCCCCCAAGGCAGAGCCCAAACATAATCGGTATTTCTCTAGTATGAGACCCAAATATATAACTTAAAGAGCAAAATAAGAGAGATGGTAAGAAACACGGATATAAACTCTGTGTAGATGCAAAGGGATCTGGGGAAAAAAGAGCAGAGGGGGAATAAGAATGATCAAATGCAATATAAATGTATACCAGCTCCCCAAGATAAATGTAATTAATATGCAGCACAAATATATATTAATTTTAAAAGCTTTTAAAGTTGTCACTCCACTCTAACTGCCATAGTGTACATATCCAAAATACTAAGCACTATTGAAAGAAATGTAAAGCAAATTGCAAGACCATGAGAAAAGTTCATAGCAACATTATACTCTTATTTAACCAAATACATATGGTGTAATTAAAATACTGCTTTCCATTCCATTGTACTGCATATATCGAACAATTTTCCTGTTAACTGATATGAAGTTTTGGCTTCTGATTTTTGTATGTTTAGTACATATCCAAGGATATAGTCTTCAGTTGAATACATTCGAGAGACAATGTACCCAGATCAATCAATTCATCCCTTTCCTGGAGCTCTTCTCTTCCACACTGCCATTAATTAGTAGACTTTGGCAGTGTTCCAATAATAATTAAGTAAAACATGAGGTTCACAGTACTGCTCTAAATACTGGTGTTTTACTTCTCTGTCATCAGAGGAAAGGTGTTGCCAATGTATTTTATATGTAAGAGCCAGAAGACACTGCAACCCTGGGTGTTTTGTCCAAATCTGGAACAACAAGAAGCAGCACAGTCAGGCTAGAACCCAGCCCGCCAAACAACGCAGGCCCGTCTGCCTTTCCCACCTCCAACATGCTGTCTGACTGAACACACCATTTAGTCTTCTGCAACAATGAGGATTTTTTTGTTTCGGTTTGGTATTTGCTTGTTTGCTTGCTTGCTCATTTTGTGACCCCAGGAATTGACCCAAGAGCCTTCACCCCATGCTACAGCCCCAACCCTTTTTTAATTTTTGAGATAGGATCTTACTATTCACTAAATTAACCAGGCCAGGCTCAAACTTGTGATCTTCCTGTCTCAGCCTCCCAGAATGCTGAGATTACAGGCATGCACCACCAGGCCCAGCTTCATTTAACCTTTTGACCTTCATCTTTTTGGCCAATATGATCCAAGGAGGGGATCTTCAGTGTGTCCATACTGCAGGGCCAGTAAATAGCAGCCTCCACTTGATGTGGTAAAAGCAAACAAACTTCACTTACAGTCTTGGCTGGCAAGGATGGTGCTGTGAGCCTGCCTGCTGTTTCCACTGCAGGGCGGTGGAACGTGATGCAGAGGAGCCACATCAGACCTGCCGTGGCTCCTGTGGCCTGGGCACATAGCTCAGGGCAGAGTGCTTGTCTGCTATGCACAGCCCCAGGATTTGGTAGCCACAGACTAGAATAATTTGAGAAAAATTTCCTTGGAATGAGAGGCTTAGTCTGCCTCCTACTTGTACATACAAAGCTTCATGAAGTCATGGGGGGGGCGGGTTTCAAAGGTGGCTGGATTAGGGTGAATGTGGGTTGAGTGTGATACTGGGATTAACAGTGTGTAGCTGGGATTAAGGACATGATCCTTGGATTAAGGGTGTGGATAATGGAAGCCCTACCCTCGATGTGGGTGGCACCAATCAATAGGCTTAAAGCCTGGATAGAGAGAGAGGAAAGGCAGGATGGCTACTGCTGCTGCTTGCTGCCTTCTGCCTGCTCTGCCTGCCATGGACCTTTTCTCCCGTCAGGCTTCTCTGCCTTGGAGCCAGCTGTCTATAGACTGATGTCTCCACAAACTGGGAGCTGAATAAACCTTTCTTCCTTTAACTTTTGATGTTGAGTATTTTTTATCTCAGCAACGAGAAAAGTAACTAAGATAAATGTTCATCTCATCCAGAAGTCCCTCTGTCTTCTGGTATCATTTTCCTCCTCCTGAAGTACATCTTGTAGAAATTCTTTTAATGAAAGACAGTTAATACTAGTCTGATGTTAATGGTGATATTATTAATTTAGCAGTCAGGAAAAAACTTTTTAAAATACTCATTATTTAATGATAGCTTTATGATTTTGAAATGATACATTGATAATTATTTTCTGTCAGCATCTGAAGGTATTATGTAGATTCTGGCTTATTTTGCAGCAGTTGAGATCTGTTATCGTTTTGCCAATCCCATGTAGATAATCTATCTTCTCTCTCTGGTTAGTAAGATCTTCCTTTCTTCTTGATGTTTTATACCTTCTCTAGAATGCATCCAGGCAACTTACTGTGTCTCCCAAACCTGAAAATTTATCGTTCTCATCAATTTTGAACGTTCTCTACCATCATATTTCAATATTATATGTTCTTTTTCATATGTATCATTTAGGATCATAAGTAATCTTTAGAAGAAAAAAGTATAGTAGTTTAGATGAAGAGAAAAGATAATTTTATTTTAAATTTTTAACTCGTCCATAGTGTTTGAATTTTTAATTTATTGTTTGCTGAGTAGTTCATGGAAATATTTGCAATAATCTCTAGACTGGATTAGGGTCTCCCCACGCACCCCTACGCACCCCAGGGGGAAGGGAAATTCACGTACTCCTATCCTCTGCTAAATTTACAGACTCAACTTTTCTGAGGAAAAAACAACTTACCAGAGCTCCTAACTTGGGAGAAAAGAAACAGCATTTTAATTCGTGCCGCGGTTTACTCTTCAGCCCCGTCCGGAAGCCTGGTTCCCCTGCCTTGCAGGAGCGATCACCAGCTGTGGCTAAGGACGATGCGGTCTGGAGACCTTGCTAAGCAGCTCCAAAAGCGCCCCAGAAGCCCGAGGCTCACAGCCTCTCATTGCCTCCTTCTCCGACTCCGGCGGACGCTGCGGCCTCGCTGCACCCCGGGCGGCCCATCCCGGTCCCCGGGGTCCCCGGTCTCCGCCCCGGTAGAGGCCGGGCTCCGGCCCGCAGCTCGCCCGGAGGCCTGGAGAGGGCGCCCGAGACCGCGGCCCGCAGCCCGGGTACCAAAGGCGCCAGAGGTGCGCAGAGCCGGGTTCCCAAGGACGGCTCTGGCGGGCAGGCGAGGCCAGAGCTGGCGCTCCGGCTGCTGAGGAACCCGGGTCCGCCGGGCCCCTCGGGCTCAGAGCGGCGCTCGGCCCGCCGCGTGCCGCAGCTCCAGCGAGGTCCTCCCGGCGGACAGGCCTCCCTCGCCCGCCCGCATTCCCGGAGCCCGGGACCCGCCCCACGGGTGCCCCGACTCTGCTCGAGGGCTGCGCCCCTCGTGCGGCGCGGGGAGCCGCTGGCCCTCAGCTGCGACGCGGGGACGCCGGGGACGCTCAGCACGGGCCGCCTTCCCTGCGGCCTCGCCCGGCCCGAGAAGGTCGGCGGCCTCGTGGGAGCCTCCGAGAAGGGACCCCGAGGACCCCGCCCCCAGAGGACTCCGCCCCTGATGACTCCGCCCCGAGGACCCCGCCCCCCGCAGGGGGCCCCATCTCCGAGCATGCGCGCCCCCGCCCGCGCCTCCTCCTCCCGGGTGACCGGAAGTGCCCAGTGCCCCGCCGCTCCTGGGCTCCGCGTGGCTCCTGCGTCCCGGGCCCCGCGCACCCAGCTCTCTGCAGGGCCTCACGGAACCCCGCGGCCGCGCAGCCCGGCTCCCTTCCCTGTGCCCACTGCATCCTAGAGACCGCTTCTAAATTTCTATTCTTCTCCCTGCGGCTCACATTAGGGTCACTGGTGGCTTTATCTCCCCAGTTCCATCCCAACACCCTGAGAGCAGACATCTGCCCTCCCTTCACAAGGTTTCTGAGCGTTAAATGGATCACACAGGTTAAGAAAGAAAAGAGCAGTGTTAGTGTTCCTTGTGTTTAAATTTGCCGTATTCTGGTCGCCCTGCACCTCCCTCTGAGGCCTAACTGAGCTAGTTGCGTGCGTGCCTGATGACCGGCAGTGTAAAGTCGGTTGCCAGACTGAAGGGAACCCTCAGAACAGGGGTGGACAGAGCTTGTACTGGGTGAGGCTGCGGTCTGAGCATGCGCCCAGTCGTTCGCAGGCCGAAGCTCACCGGTCCATGTGGCGGATTAACATGCACCGCATTTTGGAGGTGACTGAGCCTGAGAGCGCCACGCTGGCACGGGAGCTGCAGCTCCTACAAGCAGCTTCGCAACATTTTTGCCCTTCCTCCTTCCATGGTGTAGAAGCAGCAAAACGCCCTGATCAGACGCTGGGTGCCGGTGTGTTGCTCTGGGATTTCCCAGTCTCCAGAACCGTGAGAAGCGAATTTCTGGTGTGTAAAGGACCCAGGCTTGGGAATTTTGTTATGGCAGCAGGAACGGCCTAAGACTCCAATGTGGTGCACAACAGAGGGGCAGGTACTGAAGGAGAGGAGGCAGGAGGGAATGGTGAGAGACGGCAGGAGGAACCGTTCCCAGAGTTTGGAAATGTGAAGATGTGAAGAAAAGCTGTGAGATCCAGCAAAAGCAGAAGTAAACAGAAAACTAGATAAGCAACAACACTGGAGACCAAGTTCCCCTTTCGCGGGCAGGGAGAGAGGCAGTGTAAGAAGTGGGCGTGTAGCAGTGGAGCCAAGCAGCTGCACGCTCAGTGCTCATTACACGGGTGCTGTGTCCTGCACCACGTGCTCTGATAGAGGCCAGGTCAGCAGCCACCAGAGGGAGCCAGGGAGCCAGGCAAGAGGCAGCCGCACGCCAGCAGGCTGTTCCAGCCCCAGACACCTGCTGCTGAGTGCTGCTCCATGCTCCTTTCTCTCCTCCTCCGAAGGCTGTACTCTGTGCTTTCGGCCAGACCAGCTCAGGTGATTCCCCATGCCCTGGAGGTTTTGCAGACCCATGGGCCTTTGCCTATGCTTTTCCTCAGTGGAGGATGCCCTTCTATTCAAGAGTTCAAATTTCCACCCCTCCCTGACATGAAGATGATGACTGTTTTACTTGTGCCTACTGATTAGATTCAAAGATTTAGAAAGGCTCAAATGCAAAAACACCTTGAAGAAATTTACCATGGAAAATCTTTTGAAGATGTCTTTCAGGACAGCTCTTAGGGCACACAATTGGATTTCCTCAGAAGACACCCAAATTTAGCTGGGAAGAACCAGACTGAGAGTTTAAAACTTGGATACTGGTACCAGCTCAGTTATGTCTGGGGAGTTGCGATACTTAGTCATCCTAAGCCTTCATGTCCTTGTCTGTAAAACTGGACATAGCAGTTCCTGTTCAGACTCATTTATTCCAAGGTAAAAATTTACCTTACATCTATTTAGGTAAGAGTTAAATGGGAGTATGCATGTAAAATGCCTTGTAATTGCTAAAGCAACCAAAACAGCCAGTGTAGAGAGATATCTAGGGAGAAGGAAAGAACATGCATGCTACTCACCCGTGTGAAGAGAGGACAAATGGTATCACCATTTAAAAATACATGCTCACGTACAGAAATCCTAATATGTTGCTTAGACTCCAAACACAAAGCTGCTTCAAGTGAGAGGATGGATTTGTGGAAAGACTTGGAGGGAGAGCCCCTTCGCTGCTTTATTTCAGCCACATAGACTTAGCAGAGTTGCTAGCAGTGCTCAGAAGAGACGGGCCCAGTGGACCTGGGTGAAATGTTTGGCTCTGCACCAACGTGTGAGTGTGACGTTCTGCAAGGTTACTTGGCCTCTTGATAGCCATCTCCTAGCCTTAGCTGTCAGGATTAAGAAGCCTGATAGTGCCTGAGAGTACCTCAGAAAAGGGACGCACCAGTCTGGCTGGGAATAGCCTGCGACAGCAGTTTCTCAGGACAAGCCCTCCTCTCCCGCCGTCCTTGACCTCCAGCCCCGCGGTCCCTCCACGTTCAGCTTCACGAAGAGAAACCCAAGTCAGAAGAGTTCATGTGGAGAAGAACATGACTAATGGAGGGAACGCCAATAGTTTCCAAACCCACGAGACAAATAAATGATTGCCCCCCCGCCCCCCGCCGCCCTCTCAGAAGCCTTTGTGCTTTCTTCTTCCTAGGAGTTCAGGGGTCTTTCTGGAACCCAAAAGATCAAGGCCTTCCGGGTCCTGTAAGAAGCACTGCTCCGGCTTTGATATTTTATTGGCAAATCAGAAGTCTCCTCAGTTTCCAGCCAGAGGACAAGGGGAGTGAGCTGGGCTCTGGCTCCTCTCGGGCCATCGTGAGCTGAGTCTGGAGGGGTCGAGGCCTCAGACCACACTGTCAGGGAGTCCAGCGACGCCTCCCTGGGCACAGTGTGCTAACCCTTGTAACAGGACCGCAGAACACAAGTGCGTTTGCATGTGCATCTCCTTTGCCACTCTCTGCTTCTCTTTCTCGCGTGTTCTTTCTTTCTGTAACCCCGGGCACGGAGCCCAGCAAGCACTCTATCACTGACCTGTATCCCCAGCCCTCTCAACGTTTTAAAACCATTTTAGCCCAGGGGTAGTTCTGTGGACGCATCAGGGTGCAGAGGAAGCCTTCCCTGTCCCTCACACCGTCCCGGCTTCACTTGCTCCTGAGTTGTTCAGGCAGCAGAAATTCCAACCAGAACAAAGAAACCTCAAGCCAGTGTGAATTGTGGGACATTTTATTGAACACAAATGAACAGAAGTCAGATTCCCTCTGGAGATTAAGAAAGACTCCAGGTGCCAGGAAAGGAAGTGAAGGGAGTTTCTGAGGGAACATTGAGGGTGGAGGCAGAAGTTCAAAGGGAAATCATTTGCAGGCCAAGATGAACAGCCCTCTCTGACAGCAATGAGGGCCCCAGAGGAAGGGCGGCAAAGGGAAGGCCCAGCCCAGGGAGCCTGGCTGAGACGGCTCTCCCAGGGCCACGCCCAGCGCTCTGGGCGTCCTGCACAGCTGCAAAGAAAGCGACGAGACGTAGGTGCAGAGCCTGAGCTCCGGCTGAGCTGCACTACTCGCTGACCAGGAAACTGAGGGCCATTTGCTCACCACGTGGCTTGGCTTGGCTTCACTGGCCTGAACCCTAGTTTCTGGCACCCAGCCGCCAGTGTTATTGTAAGAAATGTGTGACAGATATGGAAATGCTGACCAGGACGCCGTAGGTAAGTGTGGAGTGTGATTCTGCAACCTTCCCCACCCAAGCACCAGAAGTAACTTACTCCCACTCTTCAGCCTTGCTCAAGCCAAATGCTTTGAAACGCTCCCTGGAGGGATGAGGGAGCTTCCAGCTCTGCACCCTACAAGGCAGGGAGCTCCTGAGGGGCTGCTTGCTGCGAAAGCGAAGTGCTCCTGCTCAGCAGCCCCTCCAGGAGTGGGCTTGTAAGGTAAGGACAGGCCTCTCCCAACTCATTCACAGCCCCTCTCCAGGACAACCAAGATTTCCCCAGCGATTTATTAACCCTACTCCGTGCTCAAGCTTCCAAAATCAAAGCCAAGAGTGTTTGGGTCCCAGGTGTTTAAAAATGGCAAGGAAAATAGAATTTGATGTAAAAGCTGGATTTTAGACTAACCCAGTGGTTCTCCCAAAGCCCCGTATTGCTGTCCTCTTGACTCTTCCTTCTTTAATGCATAAAATGTCACGTCTGCATGCATATGCACACAGCACCACATATCACATACACATCCTACACACATTCCCTCTCACACTGGCACCCAGACATGCACAGGGTAAATAAAGTCCCTTGGAGAAGCTCTTATACTGTCCAGTGTTTTCTCGTTTCTTCTCCAAAACATCAAAAACTGATGCATATGAGAAGCAATAGACGACATTTGAACAATTGCACCCCATCACCTACCACCCCATGAGGAGAAAATTTATAATTCTTCAGTTATAAAAACACTAGTCAGAAATAAGTTTAAATTCCTTCCATTCATTGTGGAGAAAAGTAAAGTATGGGTATGTGAGTCATATGTAAATAATAAAACTATAAAAATATTTGAAAAAATCAGGAAAACATTTGAATAACTTTGAAACAATGAGAAATTGAGCAAAAAGAAAAGCCACATACGCCGTAAGACAAAAAAGAGTTCTGGTCATATAAAAATGAAAAACTTCAACCTGGCATGGTAGTACACACCTATAATCTCATCACTCTGGGAGGCAGACTCAGGAGGATCAGAAATTTGACCTCAGCCTGGAGAATTTAGCTACAAAGTGAAACCTCATTTCAAAATAAAAATAAATAAAGGGTTAGGGATGTAGCTCAGAGAGGCCGTGGATTTTATCCCCAGTGTCACAAAATAAAAGAAGAAAGAAAGGACGGAAGGAAAAAAAGAGAAAGAAAGAACTTCAAAAAGCAAAAGATACCATAATCAAAATCATAAATATAAGATATTACAAAAAGAGTATAATGAAATGATAGCTCATAAGGGAGTACTTCAACATATACAGAGAACTTTCTCAAATTAATAAAATAACCCAAAAGAAAAATTACAAAAAACATAAATTGCACATTATAGAAGAAGAACTAAAATGAATGACAGGCACATAAAATCTTAAAAATATGCTACAACTAATAGGAAAGTTAAAATTAACCCACTGACATAACTATTTTTAAATCCATTAGAAAATCTTAAGATTGGTAACACCCCACCCAGTGGTGATGTGAGACAGCTCTGAAGCTTATTAGTGGTGATAGAAATAATCACCTTTGCAAAATGGTGTCACATATTAATTAAAATGTGATCCAGAGGTGCCACTTCTGGGAATTTTTCAGGCTAATTAAAATACTGGAGAATAAAGTCAGCTGTCTCCTATATCTGTTACAACATTTTCTGGTAACAAAAAACCCCAAAACCATTTAAATATTGTTCAAAAGGTGCTTCACTCGGGAATTAACACTGGGCCTGTGCAACAGAACAGCACACTCCTCACCCTCATGACTTTATGTCTTATCTGCAAAGTCAGGGAAGCAGTGATACGTACATCACAGATTTATTTGTGTCAACTTGAAAGGATTTTTACTGAACACATTGCCAAGTTCAAAACGAATTCCCAGAATTAAAGGCATTCCTTTAAAATATGTACAAACTCTTCTTTGCTTGTATATATTTGTGTCCTCAAAAAATGTGGACGAGCTTGCCTGAAAGTGAGAACACAACTACTGCCTTTGCAATTTATATTATTAAAAAAGAGAGATTAGGGGGAAATGCCCCGAGACGTGAACCAACCACACGCTGAAAACAAGCTGTAACGGCTGGTAATTGTAGGGAGAAGAATGCAGCTGTCCAAACTCCATAGTTTCTGAATTTTTGAGAACCTGCTTCAGGCACAGCCCCCTTTCTTTTTGTTGTGGTTGCTGTTGTTTTGTTTGTTGGTTGGTTGGCTTTTTGTTTTTTGGTACTGGGGATCAAACCCAGGACCTTGCGCTTGCGAGGCAGGCTCAGTGCCACTGAGCTACATCCCCGGCCCCCAAGCCCTCTTTCTATGTCCTGTGCACTCAGGCAGGCCATACTGCCATGCAGGCCCCTAGCAGAGTGTGTGTCTTGGTGTGGGCTTTTGTGGGGTGGAGGGACACGGCAGGGTGTGTAGGAGGGCAGCATGCTGTGAGTGAAGAGACACAGACCTTTGGAGAGGTTAGAGGCTGCCTGGGTTCTAACCTGTACCTTTCACCTATTTTCTATGGGACTTAAAGTCTTTTTCCTGATCTCTTCATTTGAGAAATTGTGAGCGGAGGCATAAATGAGGTCACACTGGGACCAGACCAGGACAGGAAGCTCCTTCTGCCTGGAGCCCGGCCTCAGCCACCATGTCACCCTGTGGCGCTGCGCCCGCCCCTTCCTTCTGCTGCTTTTTGTACCTCATTGCTGGGTGCCAGACTTCTGTCCCTGGCCTGAAGAGAGCAGGCTCAGGCCTTGAGGGGCTGCACTCTGCCTTGGCCTGCTTGTGAGTTCCTGCTTACTGTGACATTACGTCCCCCTGCATGGAAGGGATTTCGATCCTAGCAAGTGTAGAAGCTTGGTCTCAATCTCTCTCTCTCTCTCACACACACACACACGCACACACGCACACACACACACACACACACACACGGGGGGGGCACTGCAACCCTTGACCCAAATCGTACCACAACCCTCCTAAATAAGAAGCCCGGTGTCACACTGAATTCTACACAAATGCAAGTTTTGTTAGCAACAGAGAGAAAGCTTCCAACAGCAGAATGGCCCGAGATTCACCGCAACTACTTTACATCATTTAAAATGCATTGAAAATGAAGTCCCTTTAGAATACCTTGAGCAGACAGGGAAAGGCAACACAATGTCTCTGTGCAAAGGCTGAGTCTCTAAGGAATGGGGAGGAAGCTGACGCTCGGCGGGTCCAGCAGCTCAGGGCGCCTCGGGCACACAGTTACCACACGAACTGTACACACGAAACTCCGTGCGTTGTCCCATGACAGCTCTGGTCCTGACCGCCCCTCTGCTCCCCCCCGGGGACTGGAACGGTCAGGTCCTGAGGGACGAGCTCACACACTCGGGTCTGGGCTCCCTGCCGCTGTTGAGGAGGTCCGTGAGCTCCCCGATGTACTTGATGGTGTACTTCAGCGTCTGGATCTTGGTGAGTGGCTGGCCTCGCTGGCTGTAGACGGGCGGCAGGTAATTCCGCAGGGTGTGCAGCGCATCCGCCAAGGTCCGCATCCTGAGCTTCTCCCTCTCGCTCGCCTTGCGCCTGCGCTGCACAGACATCTTGACTTTGGGGCCCTTCTGGGCCTTGGGGCCTCCGGCACCCTGGAGGTAGGCAGGCTGGAAGGCCAGCATGCTGTAGTCCACCTCCACGAGGCCGCCAGGGTCGCGGCTGCTGTGGCCATCGCTGCCGCCTCCACCAGCGCCGCTCTGCCCACAGAGCAGCCGGGCCCCGACGGGGCGCGCGGACGGAGAATAGGACTCCAGAGAGGAGACTGGGGAGAGGGTCGGAGGTGGAGAGGCCTGGCTGAGCGCAAAGGGCCTGGCCCTGTTCTTCCAGTCCCAGGAGGACAGCAGGCCAGGGCTGTCAGAGGAGTCCAGGCCCTCCGCGAGGCCGAAGAAGGGCTCCTGCAGGGTGTCCATGCTGCCGGACAGCTGCGGAAGGAATGGCTCCCAGGCAAGGGCGAGAGAGCTGCGCCGCCCGCCCGCTCAGCGCCAGGCAGGGCAGCCAGCCGGGAAGGGCTCACTCTTTTATGATGGGGAAGAAGTGGGAAAGAGGGCTGGGTGGAGGGAGTTCAGAGGGAAACCCGGGGCCAACGGGGAAAATGAACTCCTCAGGTGTCACTTTCTCCTCATCGATAATTAGCGTCTTCCAGCTAAAATGTCTTTAAACAGAAAGGCCTCAGAGAAAAGAAAAAAGGAATTATCTTGTTGTAACTAAACCAATTAAGGCTGCATAACTAGACTTAGCATTGTCCTGTGGAACTCGTTAAAGAGGGGGCTAAAGAAAACAAGCCCAGGCATCTGCGGCCGGCCGGCGCTGGCGCTGGCGGAGAGGGGTGGTCAGGAGCCTGGGGGGCTGAGCAAAGGGCCTGAGAGGGCCCGCAACACCAAGCCTCGGACGCTCGGAGCAAGCAGATGGGCGAACCGCCAGAGACAGCATGGTCCGGGACGGGACGGGACGGGCAGCTCCCTCCTGGGCCCAATGCTTCCATTCCCTCCAACAGCTCCCGTTTCCGGGTTCTGTAGAGGGAGGCCCCCATCCTCAGAATGATGAAGGCCAGGGCTCCAGGAAGCCTAGAGCCTCAGGGAGTAGGAAATATCCCCTGAGCAGATAACGCTTCCATTAAATAAGTAGATTCCCTAGAGAGAAGAGCAAATTCCTCAAAGCTGGGGAGATTGGAACAATCCCTGGTATTCAGTCTTCTAAAGGTCTTTTCGAGTCCAGCTGTGGAGTCACACCTTGCTTGCTGAAAGGTACAGAGGAAGTGTGAAATTGAGCAGGGAGCCTGTTTTCCACACCACAGCCCAAATGCCTCCGAATGTGCTAGCTGGATGCTCCGGCTAGTTTGCCTCACTTCCTGTATGATCTGATAGACACTATATTTTGGAAGAGAAGTCTCACATTCCCCATTTGTCTCATAAGCATAATTTATTCTCCGTATTTTTACAAATTAGCCTTAACAGCAGAGTCACAGTGAGTTACACTTTGGAGTAAAATTAACATGTCTTCTAACATGGTTAAGTCCCTTTGCAATTACTGAAAAGAAGTGTCAATGATTAATTAAAACATTTAGGGTATTTTTTAATTAGCAAGCCTCAGGAAAGAAAAACCCCAAGCAGGTAACCTGTAGAGGAATAATTTCACCACGTTACAAAGCCAGACTTGAAGGGTAATGGTGTGATGAAATATAATAAATGAGTAAATGATTCTTTTCTTTTTCCCTCACATCTCTGTCTTCCTTCAACTCTTACTGAGAAGTCTAGAATGGACAGAAATTATTCAAGGACTTTTACATGTATCTATGCTTCACATTTTAAAAACACAATATTTTGCGTATGAAATTAAAGACACTCTCAAAGATTAAAGACCTCCCGGTAGAAAGCAGCAGACCAAGATCCCCATACATTAGAAAGTAGCCGTATTTGAAAAAAATCTGCTTCGCCAAGGATTTAGCTCAGTGGCACTGCACCTGCCTCACAAGCACAAGGTCCTGAGTTCGAACTCGGTGCCAAAAAGGAAACTGTTCAGTCATCCCTGCTGGTGACCTGACTGACTTGAGGAGGGGACCCGGGGCCACCTCGTGGCTGGGAGGCCACCATGGCAGCAGGCGCTCAGCCCTCATCACCTGAAGCTCACGTTGTGTGCAGTGGTCTCCACCGTCAGGCCGCACAGCTGTCTGCATTTCTCCAGCTCCTTTCTCAAACTGCCAATTTCCTTAACTTCTACTTTTAGAAATGTAATTTCCGAAATGAGACAGTGCCTGTCAACTCCTTGGGAGGACACTCAGTAAGTTCAGGGTTTGTTACTGTAGTCTCTGCCTGTGCATGGCCAAATTTCCAGTTCAAAGATGAGCTTGTTACAGTCACACGACCCAGTGGCTCAGCACTGCTGGCCCTGAAAACAAACTCTTCTGATAAGAAGACTGCCTGACTCCTGCACTTCTCAGTAGTGCTCTCTCTGGTGGGCAGTAGAGCAGCCAGACTTAAAATTACTGAATCTCACTTGTCTTGAAAGCCTCTGCACTCCATCTGAGGGAAGGGGAATGTAACACCATTAGCATTTGAGGGACTGCAGCTAGTGTTTTTCTGACTCCATTAAGAACAAGAAACAGGGCATAGACGGGCCACGGCTCAGTGACACAGCAAGTGCTCAGCATGCCTGAAGCCCTGTCTTCAACCCCCAGCACCCAAAACTGGACAAGTCTAGGCCAGACACAATAAGCCTGGTTGAGAGGGTGGGTAGTGGGAAGATGAGCATCAGCCACCTCCTTCAGGGCAAATGCCCCCAGCCCTCGAAACCCTAATTTAATTTGTAAAAGGGTTCAATAGCTCAGGTCCCAGCTCCTTGTGATGAGCAGAGTGGACTCCCTTCCAGCGCTAATGCGCCACAACATGGTCACACAGTGTGAGTGAGCTTGCAGGAAGCAGCCCATAGCAGCCGAAAGGACTCAGAGCACGCAGCCCACTGCTCCTGCTGCAGCTCAGAGAGGGTGAAAGGTGCTCAGCGCCGTGCCACAGGCTGCAGCCAAGATGGGAAGAGAAAACCCCAACTGCCTGACTTCCAGACGTGTCTTTTTGCCTCCCCTGAAACTGATGCAGATTAAGTGGTACGCTTTTCTGTCAGGCAGATTACATATTGTCCACATTATTGAATTACTGGAATAAGTATTTTAATATTTTAATGTAAAAGTCATTCACTCAACTCATTTTAAACAATTGTAACTCTAACACTTGGAAAGAAGCAAAAATTGGCTCCTAGCAGAATAGACACTTATGCCAGGACTGTACACTATAAGCTTTATGTATACTAATATTGCTGTGATTATTAATTGCATGCTCAGTCAATTTTTGGTTCCTTGAGTCAAGAGACATTAGATCTGCAATACATGTAGGCACAAATATATTCCATCCATTTTCTCTTGGCCTTAACTTGCCTCTGCTTTATAAGCCTGCATCAGGTTGCCACAAAATTATAAAAAGCTAAACATTGAACCCTGAAGTGGAGAAATATAAAGGGCTACAGGGATGTTTCAATATTTTCAAGATAAGAAAAAATATTTTCACCAAAAAAATTGGTCCAAACCTGGCGACATTACCGTGTTATATGACACCAGGTAAATCAGCATGGGAGATGGTGCAAGCTCATTTAAAAGCTTGTCTCATGAGGAATAGAACCATACATAGAACAGAACTATGCCCTACCTCCTCTGCCCCACACACTGCAGCGTCTCCTCGGAAACAGCGTCCGTCCCACCATATACTCACCGAGAACAGCTGCAAGATACAAGGCTGGGTGCACATCCTGCCTCCTCCCAGAAGGGTCCCTGGCCTGTCTCAGAGCTCAGAGTTTCTCCTTTCTCCATCAACAGCACTTGGACATGGGCCCCTTTATTTGACACTAATACTGCCTGCTGTTTGGGTTACTTATTCACATAAATATGGGTTCCCATTTGGCAATGCAGACAGAAAGTACACTGGAAAGCTTTCGTGTTCAGGAAACCCGTAGACTGCATGGGCAATCACCTTCTTAGCTCCCCACACTGTGCTATAACTTAGCAAAGTAATCACCAATAACTTCCAAGAATTTAAAGTATAAAAGGGGAAATAACTCATCTCTACCTGTGCCATTATCACCACCAATCCTGCTTACTGAGAAGAAATTAAGGCCCAGTGCAGGTAAGTAACTGCCCAAAGCCCCATACCTACCTCCAGTAGCCCCTGGGTCAGCAGCCAGGCAGGCTGGCTGGGGTCCCCCCGGAAACCCCAGCTTTGCTTCCTCCTGAGGACAGCTGGAGGCTCAGCATGGCAGGCTCTGCAGAGCCACTAGAGTGAACTCGAGTGTGAATGGGAATTCTGGAAAAGCTGAGAGACTGACCGGCCCCACCCATCCAGGTAGCAGGTCCAGGCCTGTGCTGTGGGCATCTGGGAACTAAAAGACCCGCAACAATCCCCTCCTTATCCAGTTTCATTTCCTGAGGTTTTAGCCATCGACAGTCCACCATGGTCAAAAGAAGTTAGATGGAAAATTCCAGAAACGAGCATATGTCAAGCTTTAGAAGACAGACCACGCACAGGAGCGTGCTGAGCTCTCAGCTGTGCTCCTAGAATCCATGGCCAGCCCAGCCCTCAGCCTTCCTGTCAGCCAAGGAATGGAGCCCAAGTCCAGCCCGCCAGGAATAGGTGAACAGCTTGAAGTCTGTCAGCCCTCACACAGTCTTGCCAGCGCTAACATTCAACAGAAAGTAAGACTTGTGGAGCAAAGGGAGCTGCGTGTGTGTGTGTGTGTGTGTGTGTGTGTGTGTGTGCGCGCAAACCAGTGTGACGCTTCCCTCTGTCCTGGAGCTCAGAGAGGGATCTTGGGCTCGGAGTGGCCAAGCCTGAGAGAGACTCAGCTCTTTGGGCTGTGACTCCTCCGTTGCTACCATTATGCTCACTATGAACTAACGGAATCAAAACTATTTGCCCCTCCTGATTTGGGGTTCTGACTCACTATTAACCCAAAGAGTAATATTTTGGTTTTGATCTCCTTAAAAATAAACTGTACCACATGTCACAGCATGTAAATAGACGATTTTTCACAGGCTGAATATTAAACCTATGGACAGGACAAAGCAACAGAAACCATAGAAATGGAATAGACTTACTTCCCAGGAGAGGGGAGAGACAGAAGAGACTATGCCAAACTTGAGAAAATCTCTAGCACTGAAAGAGAAATTGCTGTGGATTTCTCAGCCGTTCCTGAAGCTTATCTGACTGGAAGTTACACTTACTGCAGTCCTTTCAGGAAGCAAAGCCACGGGGAAGAGCCGCACCTTCCTCCTGAACACCTAAGAGTCTTCCTTTCTCCTTAAATGCATCAAAAATCTGAGCTCAAGAGCCGATCTTGGCACCCTAGGCCATGGCCAAGTGCTCTGTGGGTT